GTTGCTTGTTAAGTTTTTGCTTGCTTCTCTATTGCTCTCTGCTGCCACATAACAACTTGTACATGTTTCCTAATGATCTGAATGCCAGTCCGTGGTCTCATTTTGACATCTCAAATATCTATCGTCTTCACTGTCTCGCTGGTGTCTATAAGGAACAGAATTTCTTCATCTTAGTGGATTCAACTGTGTCCATGTCCCCCCTAAGTTCATGTTCTTTGTCCACATTGAGGAAAAATATGTCTCCCACAAACTAGTACGGTAGTTCTCCCTTTTACTTTTTGCAAAAGAAAAGGTAGTTGGTTTATTTTTCATGTTTTGATCCATCATCCATCTGACATTGATTATTGTAAATGGTGGAGGCAGGTAAGACATTCACTGTGTCCCACAGACTCATTGACTGACCCAGCACCACGTGATGGAAAAGCCATGACCTCCCCGCAGCCAGGCAAGGGTCTGTCACGATCCAGGTGACTCCACGTGAGGGGTCTGACCTGGAATCTTCCTTCTGCTCCTTTGGACGAGGCGACTCTGCTTTTCAATTTCTCTAAACACCAACATCTCCATCTGCATTGAATGGCTGGTTTCGTTTCCTCCATATCTCAGGCAAGAAAAATTCTCACCATCTTTGTGGGGGAGACTTTTGTTTTGCTGAGAAATCAAGGGAGGAAGTATCCTGCTCAAGTGTCCTTTAACTGCTCAGATGGTTGCGCCACAACTGACATTTAATGTGTCTGTGTGTGTTATGTCTTGGAACAGGGCTCCCATGAATGTTGTTCTTGTCTGATTCCTAAAGAGTCTCCACAGTTTGAAGAGGGAAGTGACACCCGGCCTCAAAGGTGCTCTGAAGGGTCAGAAATGACTCAGATGATTGACCCCCAGGATATGGAGACATCCCGCTGCTCACAGAGACAGAAAGTCGGGTGGAACCTGTGTGGAATGTAGGACCTGCATCCCAGGACCAGGAGGAGTTGCTGAGCTTCCTGTGGGAGCAGATCCATCTTGCACAGCCCCCAGCCTCCTCCCTCCTCCACTCCTGGGCTCTCTGTCCTGAGGGCCCCTTGCTGTCCCCAGTCAACAAGGCAGGAAACAGGTCACCTACACACACCCCAAGGCAGCCATCCAATCCACCTCCTTCCTCAGCTCTGAGCTCCACACCCTCGCTCCCTTCTCCAGTTCACCCTCCTCATCTGCCCTTGCCACTCCCTTTCAGAAGCTGTTTATGCTTAAACCCTTCCATGGTCCTCACTGTCTTCAGGGTGAATCCAGACTCTTCTTTCTGAACTCAAGGATCATTGTCATTCAGACGTGACCATTCAGATGTGACCCTCCCACCTTAGCTCTCACCTCTGCTTCCCTCAGACAGATGGGTACACATACACACTCACACTCTCACACACACACTATCACACGTATACACTCTCACACACACATATAAACTCACACTCATACACCTGGACCTTTACACACACATAAGCATACACACGTAAGCACTCTTACATACATACACTCACACATACACACTCACATTCATATATGCGCACATAGGCTCACACACACTCCTGTCTACACACTCCTACACATATATATTCACTCATATACACATATCCACTCTCATTACTAGTCACACAACTCTCACAGACATAAATGATCACAAACATACATACGCAGACACTCACACACATGTACACTCACACACGTACACAGTCACACTAAAACATCTACATATACACTCAAACACTGCACACTCACACATACACACCTACTGACACAAATATAAGCCCATGAAAACTCAAACACACACAATACACACACCCCCACTCCAAAACACACACATACACATTCACACACACACACACACACAACTCTCAACCATTCACATATACATTCATACAGCCCACATATATATATACACTCACCCACACTCACACACACACATACACATATACGCAAACACTTACACTCTCAAACATATGCTCATACAAATAAACACATACTCACAAGCACACATGGCTTTTCATTTTTTCATTTCATAGGTTTGATGAGCAATATTTACATTATTTAATCTAAAAAATTCACTTCTGTTTTGGTTCACACATTGATTATTGCCAAGTCTGTTGATTTATTTCCAAAATGTATTTAGGAATAAATGTATGTTGTTTCAGTCTAGGAGGTTTGGAGAGGACGCATCTCTGTTTAGATGAGCTCAGGGGGCCCGTGAGTGGGCACGATGTGGTCCTAACCCGGGTTGTTTGTGGAGGGGGGGTAGGAGAGGATGTTCAAGGGATGAATTTGTTTGGAGGAGGTGTTGGCCTCACTGTGGCTGGAGAGTGTAGCTCAGCCTGATCGTCAGCAGCATGGATGGCGGGGTGGAGATCCCTGGATGTGGCTGGAGTGAGGGGGGAACCCTTGGACAGGCTTTGTGCACAGGATAGTCGGTGACAGGTATGTTTGGGGCCATGAGAATGAAACACCAGAGCCCACAGTGAGGGTATGAAGAAGGCCAGAAGGAGGGTGATGTGGTCACACCAACGAGCTGTGCTGGGTCTTCACCTGAACTTGTCTATGGGGAGAACTTGATCACAGAAAGGAGAACCGGGATTCAGAACGTTGGTATTGGTTCACTGTGTGAGAGGGAGAGGGGGGATAATGGAGGGCTCCTCCTCTCTCCACCTTGGCTGCCTGCAGGAGCCAATGGGGCTGTGCCAAGGTTGCTGACCCCAAGAGGAACAGGAAGCCTGGGGGATGTTACAAAACTGCCAACTAACCCACAGGGGCACCAGCACTGCCGTCCAGGCCTGGGTGTGTACTGAAAACTTCTCCCTATCACTTCCTCTCTCTGACTTCCTTGTCTCTGTGAGCAGAGCCCCTGCTCTCCATCCCTCTCCATTAAACCTTCAGAGTCCTTTCTGCCTCCTCACCACCTCTTGTCCCCCAGACAGTACCTCTTTGTCTAATGCTGTTTATTCCATCTCCATGATTTGGGTAGAAGAGGGAGTTAGAGACAATTCCCAGGTTGTTTCTAAGACCTGGGGACACATTTAATGAATATCTATGTTGAACCAGTCTCTTCTCCTCTCGCTCTTTGCCTGTTGGGCAAAATTGTGAAACTTCATTTCTGAGGATTGTTATGAGGATAGGCAGTGCCTGAGACATGAAGAGCACCAATTTGTTGTTAATTATTTTCTTTTCTAAAAAAATATATTTTTATTGATTTCAGAAAGGAAGGGAGAGGGAGAGATAGAAACATCAATGATGACAGAGAATCATTGATCAGGCGCCTCTTGAATGCCCCACACTGGCCCACAAGCCAGGCATGTGACCTTGACCGGGATTCAAATCATGACCTCCTGGTTCATAGGTCAACGCTCAACCACTGAGACACGCTGGATGGAAAATCTGGTGTCATTTTCTGACCTGATGAAGGCATGTGTATGAGAGACATATGGTGGGAAGGGCTGTTTGGAAGTCACATGTGTGTCCCCCAAGCCTACAAGGTAAATCAGAAGCTGTAGTGCAGATGAGCGCAGACAAATGGATGCAGGGATGGTGGGTCTCATTTTGGATCCTAGACTCAGCCCCAGTCAGGAGTGAAGGTGGAAATCTCATGAGTAGGTTGATCCCTAAGCACTAAGGCACTTAGGGCACCTCTGACCTGGTGGGAGTCCTGCTTCCATAAAACTCCACGGACACCAGTGGGGCAACCTCCAAGGTATAAGGCAGCTGAAGGGAACCACGCGTGTTTCACTTGCATTTCTTTTTACTGAAGCAACAGTCACATAGCATACAATTGAGCCTTTTTAAATATGAATTTCACGAGAATGCAGTAAATACACAATGTCTCAATGACAACGTCTATCTTGTTTCAAGAAAGTTTTAAACTCCCCCCGCTCC